GGGACATTTCCTGCCTCAAACTCCGCCCTTACAGGAAACAGGTCCAGGAAACAGCTTGGGGGAGGGTGCAGCCATTGCCAAGACAACCCATGTAGGATTGACTTCCTTCCGCTCGGTTGCTGTTTGTCTGTATGTGAAGAATACCACCCATGGTTTTTATATAAGTAGATATATATGAAGGTGTCCTGTTCACTCCTGTATCCCCAACACCTGGCATCTGTGTGCACTCTGTGAACAATGCATCTAACGACAAGCTTGTCCCCAATCTCTTAGGGACACCTATACAAATTCACACCCAGAAACAGGGGCATAGTTCCCCAATAAAAAGGAGAATTTTTAACAAAGAGCCATTGGCCAGCATGATTATTTAAACAGGAACTAAAAGAAATTATCTAAAATGTGCTGTTAGAACTTACATAATTAGTTCCAATTATTGAGGGAGGGAGGGAGCTGCCTGTAGAGGGAATGCAGGGCCTCGCTGTATCCAGGGGACAAACAATCAGCAAAGACACAGCCTGAGAGGCGCAAGCACAGGGGGAGAAGGCCTCCAGTCCCTCTGTGGGGACTGTCTCAATGTTCTCTAGAAGCAAAGCCACCAGAGAAGACACTCACGCGGAGGCCAGCTGGGCACGATGCCCCTGCAGTACCTTTCTGACTTGAGCTGCATGGAGACCTCTGCTCCCAGCACACCAGGCACAGGTGGGGGCACACTCTCCTGCCCGCTGCTGGCCTGAAAACGCCAAGGAAGAAGGCCTGGCACAGCTTACCCACACTGCATTCACACACTCCCTTCCTCCCTAATCCTAGCAGACTGTCAGCCTAGGCTCCCCACCTCCTCAGAAAGGAGAGAAGGTGGATCCTGGCAGCAAATCCCTGTCTGGTTCCCTCTGTGACAACTAGGACTAGGCGGATTTGACGCCAATCTCAGATAACCCAGGGCTAACTTCATTCAAATTAAAAGACCCCTGATGTTTAAAAATAAATAAATAAAAACTTATGTGTGCTCTACTGCAGGCTGTGAGGCAGGTGAGAAGAGCAGTGCCTAGCCTAGAGTCCCTACCAGGGGGAAGGGCATCCTTAGACATGCTCCACTGCCTGCGAATTTCTAAAAATTGAAGAGTTCAACGTCCCGGACCAGAGACCCACTCCTCCCACCCCCTGGTTTTGGGGCTGCCCGTGGGACCACAGCAGGGACACCCAGGCTTCCAAGGCGTCCCTCACTGTTGTCTCGGTTCAGTTCACTTGAGAACAGCTTATTGAGTATCACCTACGTGTTAGGCACTGGGTAGGTTCTTTGTAGACATTATTTAATTTGATTCAATCAAAACA